AAACTAACCAAATCAGGTGATACAACCTACTCGGTTTACACATGACAAAGCAGGGTTAGGGAGAAGGGATTTGTCCAAAATCAGACAGTGGTCAAGGACGAACTGGATGTTACTCGTTGCTTCATCCAACTGGATGTTGCTTCTGCACTCTGCCCCCAATTTTTCCATTGTACCTCTTATGTCACGAACTTTTAGGGACTCATCGTATTTGCAGAGTAAACTTCAAATTCCTGTTTCTAGCACTTGTCCCAACTTCGAAGGAAGCAGGGGATGACGTGGGGGGGGAGCGAGAGTACTAGTCATAGTCAGGAAATCAGGGTTCTAGTGCTGACCCCTCTCTGGGCCCCGACTTCCCCAACTGTGACAGAAGAGGCTTGAACCAGATGCTCTGTAAGTTCTCTTCAAAGGTCTCCAATGTCTCTGACAGCCGCCCTTTAAGCATACTGAAGAGGCTGGTCCCCAGGGCTGGGCCTGTGCTCATGATATTAGTTCCACCTAGAATGTACCTTTTGTTTCTTCTCCACATCCTTCAAGGCACACATTGATGTTCCTGGTATTCACCTACTCAGAAAATGCTCCTTGTGAAGAAGCTAAGCACTCCCACCTCAGCATTTAGAACCTGCTCTTCCCTCCAACTAGAGGACTCCTTCCAAAGAGCCACACAAACTGGTCTCAGTCTCAGTTCAATGCCTGCTCAAATGAAACTGATAAAGATGCTTTCTCTTAACCACCTTATCCCAAGCAGCACTTCCCAGTCACTCTCCACCTTGTTCTAGCTCTCCTCATAGTTCTCATGATACAACTTATGTTTAGTTGATCTCACCCATTGCATTGCAAGCTCCTTTAAACAAGGACATGTCTTTTTTCTTTTTTTTTTAATTTAAAACAGCACCTGAGAGGGACGCCTGGGTGGCTCAGTCGGTTAAGCGTCTGCCTTTGGCTCAGGTCATGATCCCAGGGTCCTGGGATCGAGTCCCACATCGGGCTCCCTGCTCAGCGGGGAGCCTGCTTCTCCCTCTGCCTGCCACTCCCCCTGCTTGTGCTCTTTCTGTCTCTCTCTCTCTCTGACAAATAAAATCTTTAGAACAGCACCTGAGTAAAGTACTCAGTACACTCAGTAAATATCTGTTGAACAAAAGAAATATAATTATTTGTAAAAAATTAAGTAACAAAAAGGCCAAGCTGCAGAAACTGCACTTCTAATACTACTCTAATGGCATTTCTCACATTCAGTAGCTTGTTCTGTAAGAAAGCTCCGCATGGAATTCCCAAACAGGGGTAAAAATGTACGTCAGAGAGGCTGCGAATGGCTCTGAGAGTTGTAGTCAGGCAAACAGTAAGATATCTCTCTGGAGTCAGACAGACTTGATTCTAGTTCTGCTCTGCCACTGTGGAACCTTAATCATGTCCTTACCCTCTATAAATCAAATAACCTACCTCACAGGTAATACAATGAGGGTCAGGGAAAATGATTTATGCGGAAGCATCTTGTCAGGTACAAGGCATCATACCTTATCAGTAAAGTCTTCCTAAAGGCCAGAAGTGGACTCAAATTGTTAATATGGGAACAGCTTTATTTAATGATAAACTGCCCCCAAAAAAGTGCCCATTCTTAAAAAAAAATACACACACATGCATGTCTACTTATACACATATGTGTCTTAAAGGAAAAGCACAAGTTTAAAAGATACATACTGAAAATGAACCCGATTTACTAGAAAACTCTTATGCAAAATCCTGCCATATACCCCCTCTGTAATATGAAACCCTCTTTGCCAAGACTTCAGACAGACGGCCTACTGACTACTATGAAGCTGATCTTCCAGTGGAGGAAGTAAAACTGCAACCTCTTACAGAATACCATGAGCCTCTTTGATGTGTCAGGTCATCTGTGGCTTCCACACATTGCTTCTGTGCTGGGTAATAAAAGCAAACCATCCAACTACTTAAGCTGTATCTCTAACAACTCCCAGCATGGGTTAGCATTACTTGTTGCATTTGGTGGGTAAGAAAACCAAGCCCTATCTCTTCCAAAAAGCCAATCTTGATATTCAACCCACACCAATTTCTTCCTAACCTAAACATTTATTGTACTGACTGATGAGCATGCACTTTGGTGCTAGATCTTACACCATCTCTGTAGCATGCCAACATCTTCCTCCTGTGGCAAGGACTATGTCATATTTCTCATATATTCCCAAGAGAACTTAACATATAGCTTTCTTAGCACAATGAAGATGCTGAGAAATACTCATCTGAATTGAACTTAAAATGAAGCAGTATCTTGTCTCCTCAACACACAAGGAATTTAGGAACAGAGACAAACAGGATTCTCACTTCCTAAGTTGCAAATGTAATTTATAACCTACCAAAACAACACTGATTATTCTTATCACTTATATTTTCATTTTATTTGTAGGCAAAGCTCCATGAGGCATTTCATCCTCAAAAAGGAGACAGAATTGACCCACTTCCATTTTACATTCCACGATGTCCCCAAAACACTTCTCCCACAGAACCTGTAACAGTTCATTGCTCTGATGTTGACAGGTCTACCCGCCAAGACAACTGTATGGTCCTCAAAGGCAAGAAAACTATCTAATTCATCTTTTTTTCTTATCACCTGAGCCTAACACAGTGAGGCATACAGTAACACTTAACCATTTGAGAATGTCAGAAGAGCATGTGAAGGAGAGAATTTTAAGAAAAAAAAGTATTATAAGACTGCCAGCCAAGGTGTCCATCTACACCCCAGTAAATGTTTTATAAGAACAATATTAATTAATAATAAGAGTGAAGATAAACACTTATGTGAAACCAAAAACGCTGACAGGGTTTGATTTCAGAGCAATAAATTCAGCTTCCACTAGTTTATCATCCCAACTCGAAAGTATTTAGGTGAACTCTGTCATTCTTAAAGAAATATTTCTTCCAAAATAAACCTTTCTTGACCTTTGCTTGGCACTTTTGTTGGAAACAACAAAAAGATTACTCAAATTCTACTCCTCTGCATAAAAAAGAAAAAAAGAATAAGAGGAAAATCCAAACCTCATCCTAATATAGGTGACAAAGCAACTTTTTTCACTCTGAGTAAACATTCTCAATTATATCGAAGCATTTCAAGTTGAATGTTACTGAACTTTCAAATATGCATGATAATGCTATAACCTGGCAGATAACTTCTAATTAAAGATCATCAGTCTGGAATGAAGAAATATCTCCTTTGGTCAATTTTTTCAAGTAGCTACTAGTCAAAGTTTCAAATTAATGAGAACTGCATCTTTGCCAAGTCTATAAAATATCTAACCACATTAATTCTTCCAACTTTCTCATGTAAAGATTGGCCTCAAGATTTGGAACCATCCATGTTGCCATGAGGGGCCTGGTTACTTTACATTACATTCTTGCCCCAAAGCTGAAGAGTAAGAGGTGTTTCCGCCAGAGTCTCCTAGAGGGAGGAAGAACACTGTGGAAAGACCATGGCTTTTGGAGTTAGGCCCGAGTTTAAACCCTGACTGTACCCACCACCAACAGTATGGCATTGGACAAGGGACTAAGTCTCTCTGAACCCTTATTTCCACATTGGTAAAACAGAGATAATTCAAATTTTCTACAACTGTTCTGGGGACTATGTTATATTACACATATAAAAAGTGACTAGCACATAATAGGGACTTGATAAATGTTAGTTTCTCTTCCTACTTTTTTCACAATCACAAAATACTTACTCAACACTCTTTATTAGTCAGAGTAACAGCTCCATTTTCTACTTTGGAGTCACTTTCAGGTCTGCTGGCAGCCAGGTCACAGTTCTTTAAAACATTTATACCTGTTCAAGAAGATCTATGCCAGTTTTTTATCTTTTTAAAAGATTTTATTTACTTGTCAGAAAGAGAGAGAGAGAGAGAGAAAGAGAAAGAGAGAGTGTACAAGAGGAGATGCAGAAGGAGAGGGAGAAACAGGCTCCCCACTGAGCAGGGAGCCGGATGCGGGGCTCCATCCCAGGACCCCGGGATCAGGACCTGAGCCGAAGGCAGATGCTTAACCAACTGAGCCACTCAGGCGTCCCTCTATGCCAGTTTTTTAAAAGAAAGAGTTCTTGATGAATAAAACAAAGCACCTTTATAAGCTTTATAAGGTCTTCTATCTTTGAAGAACAATTTTTTAATAGTCTAACTACTTTCAAAACCTTTTCTTTATTTTGGCTCCCACTGATACGTGGGAATTGTCACTGTCGTTAGAGTAAATAACCGACACATTTATTCTGAAGAAACTACTAGCCAGAGGACTCATTAGAAGAAATCTTGTTACAGAAACTTGGCAAAATTCTAGGTTTCCATTCAGTTTGCAAAATTTTGTGAATTCTAACAAAATGATATCAATTTTTCTATGAATATGGGTTTGTTTTAAAGAAAAATTCTTGTGTGGATTTATTTGCTACTCTATTCTGGGTTTATTTAGCTATCATTTTAGAAAATGAGTAAACTACTATATTAGCTGCCATTTACACAGTTAAGTTACCACATGGTGCTAAATATCTCCTGAGGAAAAAACCCAGCTTGGGATTTAAGCCAGCATGACAACTGTACAATAAAACAGAGAACTTCTAGAAAGCCAAGCATTTTGTTTAGGTTTGAAAAACTCTAATTCAGAATTTTCTGTTTCTCTAGGATAGTCTGCCACTATTCTTATTTTGTAGTTTAGTAGAAATGTAAAAATTCCCTTCCTCTAGCCTTTTGACACTTAAAAGAAGGACACTAGTTGGCATGTACTATTTTATGTTAATAGCCAAAGCTATTTTGAGCCATTTTAGTACTATCCAATACTTGTGCCAAGAAAAAAGGTTAGCATGACATTAGCAAGCTAAAAAAACAAGCTCTCAGTTTTTGGTCACTCAATAAGCACATTACTTTTGAACAACCCCACAGTCTTATCTTGTGGATATAAGTAATAATACAGCTCAAAAAATAAGCCATTAAATCATAATTAGAAAGTCTTACCTTTTGCGCATCTCCTGTAAAATACGCAATGGCCAGGGTGGGGAGAATCATGAACAGTGCATTGTAATAGAGCAGACCATATTTTCCCAGCTCCTAGAACAGTAAATAATTAGGTGTTCCATTTGGTTCTAGCAGACAGATATACACAACCCTATACAGAATACCACTCCCACTACACACACACACACACACACACACACACACACACACACACACACACTGCTCCCCCACAATATAGAGAGCAAATCAGCCAAGTCATAGGTTTTGCAAACATTAAGAAATAACGTAAGCTTTCAAAAGGAAGAAAAAAAAAGCAAACATACAAGACTTTATATTTGTTTGAGATAAATTCATTGAGTGCTTAAAATCAGAGAAATAAAAATAACATCAACTGGCTACCTCAAGACAGCAAGCAGGGAAGACATTATTTTGAATATATACATGCCTTTCTATATAAACACAACCCTGAAGCCCTTTCCGTTCCTGAACTGAATCAAAAGTCATCAACTCAGTCTTGAACTTTTCAGAACCATAACAAAGTGCCATTTAAGAGATAGATGGGTAGGTACCAACACACACACTCATACCTAGACCAACACAAACAGACATAACTTGCCAGTGAAGTATTTCTGAAAATGTACATGGGAAGTACAATGAAGATTATCTACAATTCCCAAAAGTATGAATCGTTGTGTCCTCAAGCTATTGGGGAACAACAAAAGAACCACATACATCTTCAAACACAGGGAGCCTATGAGAAATCTGGGTTCACTTTTGATTCACACACTTCTAAGACATTCAGCCAGAAGCAGTCACTTGAAAAAGTAGGCCAGAGTTTGAAGGGGGCAGGATGGGGATGAAGAAGTAGTGAGGATGGGGTCATCATATCTGCCTAACTTCTGTGATGTAAGATGACTGAATGATGTGAAAAGTCAAACTACTTTCTCAAAAGCAGATGTGAGAAACTGGGAACAAATATCCAACAACAGAAAACTAGTTGGTTAGATGAGGATATAATCATACAATGAAATATTATGCAACCACTAAAAATGTTAAATAATACTGACAAGGAAAGATGTTCATAAAACTGCACTAAATGAAAAATATAGGTTAGAGAACAATGCAAGTTGCTCTTTCATTTAAAATTATATACAGTTAAGCGTGCACATACACATGTGCGTGCACATACTTATCCTCCAAAACTGTGCTGCTCACTTGATGGTAGAATTAAGAGAAATTTAGATTTTCTTCTTCTTGCTTTTCTATGTTTTCTACTACTTCCGTTATAAATATGTATTATCTGTATGATTTCTTTAAAGTTAGAAATGTTTTAAACTCAACAGCTGCATTCAGGTCTGAAATGCAGCACTAAGTTTTTAAGCCACATGACTTAAGCGCAAAGGGCCATGATTTAAGCAGTCCTGAAATTATAGGTAATAAAATTTCCGATTTATTAACAGCATCTCAGCGTGGCCATACTGCCTCTCAGATAAACCAAATAACTGATTGCCAAGGCCATCACAAGCATCAATGAAAAGATGTGCTTCATTTCTAAAGCAGCAAGGAAAAGGCCACAGAAGAATAAAACAACCTTTAACAACAGATGCCCCATCAGCCAGAGACATGATTATGATCTAGGAAGTAGAGGATACCTACACACACACACACACACACACACACACACACACACACACACAC